CGTTCTTGCCTTCTTATTGTAAGTACCGCCATGTTTCATTTCGTTTATTTAGAGTGAACCTTCTTTAGGTTTCAGCTGTAATTTATTGTGGTGTATATTCCATTGACGATTGCTGCTTCATCTACGATTAGCTTTCTTATATAAGAGGTAGATCAATTTTGTCATCAAAAAAGAGGGGTTACCTTTGATTTCCAAGTTCCATACACGATTTAGGTTACATACTAATTCTTGTTGGACGTACAAGTTTTGTAACTTTGGGTTAAATTCACCGATAGCTGTGGTTGTCGACGTCCTTGCCTTACTTCCACATATACTAAGAACGCGCGCCCATTTTGCTGCGAAATAGGTCACCGGGTCATGAAGGAGAGGATCGACCCTCATAAAGGACAGCTTCCGTAACTCTTTAGCGTCTTAGTTGATTTTTTTGATTTTGTCCCTTCAGGGTTATGTGCGATTACATTTAATTAATCATCAGTACCTACTCAATACCATTGAAATCTCGGTTAAGTTATGATCAAGTTTGAAACGCGTATGTTGTTGGAGACCGCCACTTCCTTCTGAAGGGGTTGGCCACTTAAGTACCGTACCTGGCATAGAAGCGAGGCCCTTCCGACATTATCAAATAATTATATACGGGGTGCCAATTTTAAAACTTGCAGTCGGCCATATTTTCCAAACTAAAGAACATATTGAAAATCGCGCAAAACCGTTTCGGGGGTATCGAGGGGGAGCCAGAATTACGTTATGAGTGACAACCCCCCATCCCGCCTTAACCCCTGTTAATTATTAAATTTTTGTTAAATTTTCTTGATGAATATTGACTTTATTGGTACCACTGGAAATCATTTTTCAGTAGCTTTCCAACGATGTGTCGCAAGTATGGGGTTGCCATTTATGATGTTTGAAGAGCGGGGGCTGAGGGGTTAAGGCGGGGTGGGGGGTTGTCACTCATAACGTCATTCTGGCTCCCCCTCGATACCTCCGAAACGGTTTTGCGCGATTTTCAATACCTTCGTTAGTTTGGAAAATATGGCCGACATTCGCATACTTATGAGAATATCCTCTGCAATTAAAGTAATTCAATTTTGGAGATACTTTGATTTGATATTTGGAATAAACCAGTATACTGTGTTATAAGGACTTCATAATCTCCTCTCGCTTACTCGGAGCTGATTACTGTAAAATTTGTGGAATTGATGATGCTGATATTAGACCTTTTAATTTTGATAATTCCAAATTTAAACGTTACTGTAATAAGTAATATACTCGAAGTTTTAATAAACAATACATACCCAAGAGATAAAATGAAAATTTAATACCTTGGGAGCAAATGAACCACTTCCGTCCCCAGAAATAGAGATACTAAATAGTCGTTTTGATATTTTGATGCAAACATATTTACTTGCGACATTCACATATTCATTTGACAGTAAAATAGATTCTTTACAAATTGCCCCTTAGGAACTCGGTGGGCATTTTGAAGCTTCTACGCACTTCTTCGTAACTGTGTCCTCAAGGTAACCTTCGTTACAAACGCAAAGCTTGCATGAAGTAATGCAGGGTCCAGTGTGTGGCTGAGGATTTTGGCAGGTTGGTCCGCAGGGGGATGCACAATCTACTCTTCTGGCATTTTCTCCGCAAACTGTAAAATATAATATAAGATTTATTCGATTTCAAAGAGCAGATAAGCACAGTCAAATTTAAAAAATGATTCTTACTATCGTCACTGACGTAGAGCGAATTAATCGCAACTGCGGATACCAAGACGAGGAATAAGATTGCTTTCATTTTGATCACTTTGAAGTTCTTTCTGGAACTGCCTTATGTTGATCAGGTACGCGCTTATATGTGTATTGGCATTGTCCTTATCGCATTTTATTTGGGAATAATTATTAGGGCTATCTCTAATTGGATAATGTAGGAATCCGGCTTTAATTATGTGTTCTGGTGTAAATTACGACAGGGCAACAAAACATTGAGTAATAAAAACAAAATTTTCAACTAATTGTACTTATCGTTAACACTGTTACCAAGCATTCGTTTTGATAAAAGCGTTTGTTTTGACTAATAGGCTCCCTCAATCTACACACGTGATATTGGAAAAATAATAACTTAGGTATTATGTTACTTTAATGAATTATTTAGTATATTTACATAACGTAAGTGGCGTGTGAAACTCCCTTTTTTATCTCATAGAAACATTTTTCGATTATCTTCCTAGGATCAATGGAACTAACTCAACCTCGAGAGTATGTGACAACAACGGACTGCAAAACAGGCACCCTTCATGCCAGACACAAACTTTACAGGTGGTCTACTATCATGGATATCCAAATATAACTCAAAAATAAGATAGGTTGGTATTTTACCATTTATGAAATCGAATACCTTTGGAAAATACTGTAGACAGTATACTAGTATACTCGTACTACCTAACACAATTTTGCTAATCAGAAGTAAGGACACGACAATAGGTTTTAGTATCTCAATTGTTTATTGATATCTAACCGATGTACTGGTTGAATTCCAATAACACATGTTTTTTAATCTTTATATCTTGTTAAGTAATGGAATGGAATAATGCTCAGATTATAATTTATTGTGCAAATAAGAGCAACGTTTTGTTGTTTACCGTAATGTAGGGATATCTAAGGTGATTTCCTGTATTGAGTGTTTGCTAGTTTAATTAGGTACATGTTGCAACGCCGATCATATAATTACAAAATTGCTTTAATAAAATGAAACACCCTTTTTTAGTTCAGGCAATGGGGAGTTATGCCTTGCATTAAATCGGGGAGTTGTGAAATTTGGCAATGTAAGTTCAGTTTTACGTCCTATACAATATATTAGGTTTGCGACATCGTACTGTCCTGGGAAACGTTGCCATTTTAATAAAATCCATCCATAAAGTACCTATTAAAAAATTGTAGAGGATTTTGCATAGAAAAAATGAACTGCTTGATTACAATTTCCATTCTAAAATACTGGATATATAATTTTGCAGTGGGGCCATTCTTTTCTAAGTTTCGAAGCTCTTCTTTGAATTTTCCAGTGACAGTATCGTGGAATTCTTCTTCGTGTGCTCTAAGGATTACAGGGTTACCCGTCTCAATCGAATTGCCTATGGGTGTGGGTGCACGTTTATTTTTAGATGGCTGGTTTAAGTCATCCTACATACCATTGGGATCTAGTTCAATGTTAAAACCGGGTCGAGACTCGTTCAGGATGCCAAAGAGGGGAGTAGCCGGACAAACAATGCTAATCAGATAAGGGGTGTGAAGTGTTCTGCCTTACCTCTTTTTTGCCTGCCATGGAAATGAGTATAATTGATTATTAGTAGATAATTTCTAAATAATAAGTGTAATTTCCTGTGAAAAGGGCGCGTTTCTGCAATTTTAAGAAATATGCCCTACTCTTGGTATCGTGGAAACATTGATAAAGCTAGCGACTGGGATTCATTAGTATCCTTGCTTAGGCAAGGGTTTCTTCCTAAAAATTACAATGAGAAATTCTTAAAACAAATAAAAGAACGTACTCGTCAGCATCCCGAACCACCTATGGGCATATTTATGTTACATATATGAATAATCATTTCAAAAGGCTACTATTAAAATCACCAGAGGCGACTCTTTTAAAAATTCTCCTTGAAAACATGGCACCATTTTATAAAATAGTATTAGTACTTCATATATCTAATATAAAATCAGTTGACGACGTTTCCCAGGACAGTACGATGGGGCAAAGCTTAATATTATGTTGTTCAGGACGAAAAACTGAACTAATATGCTACATTTCAAAACTCCGCGGTTTAATTCAAGGTAGACTACATTTTAGCTCCCAATTGATTGGATTATTTATTTTACAGTACTCTAAGTGGGATTTTTGGGAACCCCGCCTGCCGCCACAATTGTTAAATTGCACGAGGGGATATTTTTATGTAATCTACCTACATATAAACGAAAAGGAATTTAAGACAAAACAAAATTTACTTTTCCGCATATATCTGCCTTCAACAGACACTAAAAGAAAACTCCTTTGGTAGCTCTTCAATTTAGTCACTAACAGCAACATCATCAAAAGCAAATATCTCGCCACCAAAGTGTTTCCTTAACGTGGGGAAAAGATGGTAGCTATACAGGGTTGACGTCTTAATCACTGCCGCATTCATCGATACCTATTCGAAAGTATGGAGTCTTCAGTCTTGTGCAATTGTCGTCTAACAATATGGTCTTATGGACAAAATTCTAAGGTTTTTCTCTCGAATGGCAGCTTTAAGGTTTTTAATAATCTCTTTTAAAACATCGCCATTAATATTGTCCTTTCCACGTACTCAATCCAAAGAATCCCCACACACTCCCAAAAAAAAACTGTTGCCATTGTTGTTTCAATAAAATCTAGAAAAAGTTATGAAAATAAGTTTGGCGTTTGAAGTAAGGCATCATCAGCTGGTTTTGCGGATTTCAAGACGGCAATGACTTTACATTTCTTCCAAAGGCATTTTCCCAATTGAAGAATGTTATTGAAAAATGATGATGCAGAAATTCTCAAATGTTTAATAAACTCTGGATAAACTTCATCAAAACGAGCTGCTTTCCGATTTTTCATAGATCCAATGGACAAATTTAATTCTCCTTGTTGATTTCCTTTGATTATGAAGTGTTCATTTCATTTGTTTAGTTGTATTTGTATTCAAATTAACAATATTAGCAACATTTACTAATCGTGAAGATAGTTGGCTGGTTTATTTTGGGTTTGGAATTTGATTGCCGATTTGCAGAACTTAGTTATCAATTATTAAAAAGACGCAAAAACGCGTTAAGATTTATAATTTTTGCAAAAGGAATTGAAGACGCTGATATTAGCCCTTATAATTTTGAAAATTCTGAATTTAAACGTTTACTTTAATGAATAATTTACTTTCAGTTTTACGATATGAAAATTTAGTACCTTGGAACCCAATGAACCACTTCTCCCTTCACAAATAGGAATTAAAAAGCTGTTTTGATGCAAAAATCACTTTTACTTGCGACATTTACATATTATGCGTTTGACATTTTACAAATTGCATCTTAGGAACTCGGTGGGCATTTTGAAGCTTCCACGCACTTCTTCGTAACTGTGTCCTCAAGGTAACCTTCGTTACAAACGCAAAGCTTGCACGAAGTAATGCATGGTCCAGTGTGTGGTTGAGGATTTTGGCAGGTTGGTCCGCAGGGGGATGCACAATCTACTCTTCTGGCATTTTCTCCGCAAACTGTAAAATATAATATAAGTTTTATTTGATTTCAAAAAGCATTTAAAAAATGATTCTTACTATCGTCACTGACGTAGAGCGAATTAATCGCAACTGCGGCTACCAAGACGAGGAATAAGATTGCTTTCATTTTGATCACTTTGAAGTTCTTTCTGGAACTGTCTTATGTGGATCAGGTACGCGCTTATATACTTATTTGGTATGCCCTTATCGCATGTTGTTTGGGAATAATATTAGGGCTATCTCTAAATAATTAGATAATGTAGGAATTCGGCTTATATGTGTGTTCTCGGGTCAATTACGACAGGGCAGTATAGGTTAAACGAAACATTGAGTAATAAAAACAAGATTTTCGACTGACACTGTTTCCAAGCATTCGTATTGGTAAAAATAATCTTCCTCAATATACACACGTGATATTAGGAAAATGACTTTGGTGTTTTGAGGTAATCGCAATGCATTTATTTAGTCTAAAGTAGCGTATGCAACTCCCTTTTATTTTCACATAGAAACAAGTTTCGTTTATCTTCCTAGGATCGATGGAATTAACTCAACCTCAAGAATATGTGACAACAAACAGGCACCCTTCATGCAGTACACAAACTTTACAGGTGGTCTACTATCATGGATATTCAAACGATAGTCGAATATCATATAGTACGAATTATGAAATCGAATACCTTTGGAAAAAGACTGTGGACAGTATACTAACACAATTTTGCTAACTTGAAGTCGGGAAACGATAATAGGTTTTAGTATCTCCACTGTTTATTGTTATCTATCCGGTTGAATTCCGCCAACATAATATTATGTTTTTTAATCTTTATCTTGTTAAGTAATTGAAGCTCGAATTATAATTTATTGTGAAAATATTACCAAAATTTTGTTGTTTATATAGTAATGTATTGATATCAAAGGTGATTTCCCATATTGAGTGTTACCTACATGTTGCAATACAAACAAAAGGATCATTTCTGTTGATCTTGAATTAGACAATATACCTATTCCAGTTGGTTTAATCTAACGAAAACTCATTTTACTTTACTATACTGTAAGTGGGACTCTTGGTGGCATAAACTTCCAGTAGGGTCCGTGTATTTGTATTTGCTTTCAACAGACACCTAAAGAAAATTCCTTTGGTCGCTCTTCAGAGCAGTTACTAACAGCATCTTTCAGATTATCATCGCAAGCAAATATTTGGTCTCGATAGTGTTTCTTAAACGTAGGGAAAATATAGTACTGTAGGGTAGTTCATTCGGACTATAGAGGGATGATGTCTTAATCCTTGGAATCCACATTAATCGATGGCTTGTCGAACTCCTTTAGCCCTGTGCACTCTGCGATTGTCGTGTAGCAGTATTGGTCCTACAATTCTAGAAAATGGTTGCCACCAATTTTTCAGCCGGACATTACCTACTTTTTCGCTTTCTTTTGGTTGTAAGGATCCTTCGATTTTTATTTTGTTGGGGGACCTCTGCAGGTACATTACCACCGATAATTTTTAGAAAATTGTTGGAATCTTATGCTTTATGAATGGCTCCGTATTACAGTCGCTATAAAGGTTAATAAAACCCTGACTTTTTAGGCGAACTAATTTTTATTTATGTTTTTGCGATTGGTATCTTGTTTTAAAATATTCATTTTGTGAATTTTTCTCCTTTCCAAATGCCAACAAAGTTGTATCGACCAGAATTTTACTTAACGACGCAAAAATGGTATAATGTTTTTGTGGTCATAAAAAATTGGGGTATGCAGATCCATTTTATCGAATATGAAGTTTTAAAATGTTGTATAAATATCATCATGTGGACGTTATTGCTGTCTGGCCACCAAAAATAATGACGGGATTATCGTGTATGTATTAATATTTCATTTTATTACGTAAATCTGAGGGACTATTTACGAAATACGCACGAGTTGCTTCGTTCCATTTGAATTTATATCTCAGTATTATATTTCCCTTTTAGAAATTTTGTAAATGCGTAATTCTAGTGGAAATTTTATCGCTTTTATAATTTATTCAATTGAGATAAGTTGTTAACAATAAGACCCATCTGGTCGTTGCAAGACGGAATTTAATAGGTCGAAATTAATTAACGCACGTGTTTTATTGCTCTTAAGAGATTGAGCGTTTCATATTTTCATTTTTCATTGGCGAGTTATTTGAAAATTCATAAAGAAGATTATCTTATGGTGGAAGTGGTATTTCTTTAAGTACTGGAGACAACGAGAAAACAAGGCTGTTGAGCGCGATGGTTAAACAGCGTGTAAATTTGTAAAAAAAAGGCACCTTCTTTTTTTTACCAAAACTCGACTACACCAAAATTTCTCGGGAAAACAGTTTTTCTTATTAATTTTGGGGCGTAGAATCCAAAACAATTCGTACTTTTTCGATCAGACTTCTCAATCAAAAGTTATAGACTAGAAACCAATTTCGAAAGAAAATTCAAAGGGCCGTAACTTTTGAACTAGTAGCCCAATCTTGGAACTGTTTGAAAGTATAGATTCTACAGGCCGCATTCTATAAAAAAATTTTTTTTCCGGGTCGATCTGAGACAATTTTTTTTTCTGCCAAAAAAAGGCATAGTATAAACCTTCCTTTTTTACCAAAAATCGACTACACCCAAATTTCTCGGGAAAACACTTTTTCTTATTAATTTTGGTGCGTAGAATCCAAAACAATTCGTACTTTTTTAACCCGAAGGAAATCAAAAAATGTTGGTCACTTACTATTCATCATAAATCGTTTTCCCATGACATGTTATAAGCAGAAAAACAAAATAGCGATGCGATATTTCTACAATAGTAACGCTTATAGTTTATGGGTTGGCAGAGAATACTCTGGAGAAACCTCACTCACCACCGGAAAAGAAATAAAGTAAAACACAACGTCCGACCTCTAGATCAATACACTCCATTTACATTAAATAATGATGGAAAAATTTCGATTTGCTATAATTTAAATAATTGGAAGATACAGTAGTTACATTTACATATTTTATAAACTACAACGCTAAATCTCGGGCAGTCAGCTCTATTTGTTTTCTTGAAGATGCCTTGAAGACGCAGTTCGTCATTTTTTATAACAGATCTATGCAGAAGTAAGTTAATCAAAAAAGTTTTGTAAGAAGTATAACGTGCGTTGTCCGATTACGGAAAAAGTTTTGGCAAGTTCAAAAAGCAAGCAGTAGTAGTGTACTGCGAGACTTTTTCTTAAGATTCTCTTCTTAAAAGTTTTCTACCGTCCGAATAGCTACCGAAAATTGGTCATCCAATTTAATAAGTCAGATTTCGTCATAAAGTTCAGTGTTATCAAGAAATTTCCTGAAGTTCTCAGCGAATGTCGTTCTGCAAGTTATGGTGGGCCTAGTATCTCAAACCTTGTACGACCAGATTATCTGGTTTATTAACCCTAGTTTACTGGCCACTAAAACTTTCAAGTTTACGGGCGTGGGGTGGAACGAACCCCCATATAAAATATTGATAGAAGAAAACTTATGGACATTGAAAGTGGCTGTGGGGTGCGATCCACCCCAGACCTATAAACTTGAAAGTTTTTCTAAAAGTAGTGATAAAATAAAAACTCAAATCCTAAAAACGCCAAAAACGATAGAAAAGACTAAACTTGGAAGGTACTCGAGCTCCCAGGCCAAAATATTGAAAGAAAAAAAACTTACGGACATTGAAAGTGGCTGTGGGGTGCGATCCACCCCAGACCTGCAAATTAGGGGAAAAAACTGTTAGTAATTTCTTATTTTAATTGTCGACCGTCTCCGTGCGGGTTAATATTTCCCAACAAGCTTTGTAAGTCTTTTTTTCTTTCAAGGATGTTGTTCTAATTTTGCATCACTTTGTCAATGAATTGTGTGCTTATTCGAATCCATTGTGCGACCTAGGTAGAGTTTCACATCAAAAGTTGTGCAATAAATCTTTTTCAGAAGTTGATCAAGGCCAACCGTGGCTCTCAAATTGAGAAATTCTAAGTCAATATTCGGATTTTTCTTATAGCAGGTGCCGGATGTGTACGAGGAGATATTATAAAAATTCTAAGTTTCAATTTTGATTTGTTTGAGCTAGCTGGACAAGTGTTTTGTGGGTGGCGCAGTGACCTCATGCCATTGCACACAGCAATTATAGATTAGGTACGTACGGTTTAGTTTGCACTTACAGTTACGTTTCAAAGGTCTTGTTAAAAAACTTTTCTACCATTTTACTTTCAAATACCTAAAGAAGATACACGGGAAATTTTATAAAACGCGGGTTACCTACTGTCATTGTACTCGTTTCTTGTGTCAATATCGTATTACATAGGCTGGTAACTGGTAATTAACCGATTTTAGTTGGAACACGCTACATACTCTTTTTTTTCAAAATAACGAGAAGTGCAATCTTACAGAAACTCTTCTTGCAGCATCCTTGAAAAGCCACTTATGATTCACAAGTTTTATAATCAAAAATATTTCTTTGTATTCGTTTACCATCATCCCTGTTACCTATTACATCCATTATAATAATCTTTCGAATGTATGTGAGAAGAAATTATATTGCACTAAGGAAATGTATATACTTAATATGCATGATTGAGGGGTATGACATGGCTAATTCTTATTCTATTACTATCATTATATTATTCTATTCAGTAATGACACCCTATTCCAAAACACTCTTGCTTTCGAAGGTATTTTGGTGAACTATTAATTGCATACATCTACTTTTTCTGTGGTTTAAGTAGCAGCCCATCTAATGGAGTTAATGATAATTTAATATACATACGTTTCTACCAATAAACAGACGTGTTTTTAATAAGAATTGGAATGTCTTGTCACCCAAATCCGACCTAAAGATTATATTTTAATTTAATTAAAGTTGTAATCTCAAGTTTGATGACCCGATTTTTGTTTGCTTTGCTACAGCGGAACGATTCGCAATGTAACCCATAAAATAATCATCTTTTGATAAAACTGCAATGTATTAATAATAACAACTATCGCATTCGGAAATAGTCGAATTATGGTTTAAGCTGTTGTACCAGTGCTCTGAAATGACAATAACAATTTTCATCGCACTTCTAATAGTCGCCAAAGTGAGTACCTAATATCTGTTCGTTAATTTGCAACAAATAAAATGGTTGAATCCTCTAGATTAGAGCCGATTGCGTAATCGACTTCGATATTGTCGAAAAAGGGTGCGCAAAACCTCTAGATTTGAGTCCAACAATTGTCTTCTACTATCTCACGAGAGGTTACGCATACGTGGACGTGCCAAAAGTTCAAGACTTCGTAACTTGCACTTGGAGAAAATGGGGTTACGAAAATCTGGACGGTTCCTTAAATTACGACAAAATGAGATCCGACAAAATGCTTCCGTGGAAATTGGCGCGTCATTGCAACGAATTTCCCGAAGAGTATAAGGCCTTCGAGTCGGCCTTCCGAAAAACCGTCACCGATTGCGAAAGAAAACCTCCTCCTAGCCCTACCGCTGAAGGTACGCGATTGTGCATCAACTCAAATTACACGAAATATATTCCTAATATGTAATCAAGCCGCCTACACAAGCACGGTCTAAACCTTCGAGTAGGGTGGTATACGTGTGGTCATAATTAACAGTTTCAGCCCCTCGTTAACAAAAGCTCTAGGCGTAAGCCACCCTCACTGTCCTATCACCTCTCATTAAAATCACGAAGATATACTGCCTCATTTGCATTCCGCCTCCATACACCCACAAAATTATCACAATTTCAATCTGACCTATTTTTGATAAATGGGAATCCCGCTTGCGGCTGTATTACATAATCAAAAGCACTTAATGCAATCGGCTATTAGAAGTATTGTTTCGCACACATGCGGGACCGTTTCGATTTTTGGTTACTTGCATTGCACGAACACTGTGGCCGCTCCACGTAATTGTAGATTTACAGCAAATTATTTTGTTGCTTAACAGACCTGCTGTTCTAAGAATGAATTAATATTAAAATGTTGATGTGTAATTTATTTTGTTAGTGATTTTGTGTCAATATAATTTTGATCACACACTAACTTGTATCAAAGGTAGCCCTTAAAAACCTACCCTGTGATGTATCAAACACGTCAAACTTAACGTGCAAGTTATCTGTCAAAAAACGTTATTTTGCGTTCACTGGTCTGCAGTTTTCAGTTAAGTTCAGTTTATTAATTAATTAAAGCAATCCAACGAAGTGTAGCCTGTTAAGCTTGTCAACGCAAAAACAAATTGGTTAAGCGCGAATTATCACAATTCACAATAACATCCCAATCTACTCAAAAATTATAGATCTACATGAACTAGACTCAATTTTCGCTGATGTTAAGTATGCATTATTGGAAAATGCATTTGGGAAATGAATTCCCACTGTTTCTTCGTTTATGCTTGACTAACTATTCTGGTTTAGTTTGGATCAAGAGGTTTACGGTGTTGTGGTTCACACCAGAAATTCTTACTGGTCTTGTGTATTAACAAATGTGTTTTAAAATTGTATTTGTACTTGGTAACAAACTCACATCGGTCACATTTTAAATCCTTGGCAGGGTCCTGACAAATGCTCGATGCTATGATGTGCTTTAACACTGAGTTTATGTTTGGTGACAATCGCACTGGGCACATTTTAAATCCTTGATGACCTTATGTATGTTAATAAATGTGTTTTATAATAGATTTTATCATTCGTTGCATAGTCACACTGGACACATTTTAAATTATCTGTAGTCTCCTGTGCTAAAATACTATTGGGCACTTTTTTTACATGGAATTACGTTTCCGATTATTGAGTCGTTGCGGCGCGTTTGTATTATGATCACAAAGGACAATCCGTCTTTTTGTACTCGAGTCGAATAAATTGTAAAACAGCAAACATAAAATAAACAAATGCCAACATTTTTAGATTAGATAGTGCATTATTTGCATTCGTAGGAGACTTGGTTTCTGTGCGTATACACAGTAGAGCTGTAGAGCATGTTAGTATGAAAATGTCTCGCGGGAAAGAGAACTCTATCAGCCAAAAAGAGTGTTTAAAGAATGGATTGCTAGAAGACCTACTCTTGGAACTTACGTGATGTTATTAGATGAATTTATTAAGAAGTGCTGATCTAAATTCTAAATTAAATTTCGAGTGTGCGTGACATTACACTTGATAGTGCCATCAGACAGTAACTTGCATGAGAAAACTTCCCAGTCTATTATTGTATGAGTACACTTTATATCCAATAATATCCAAATTGCTTCCATCTTTCCATTTTACAAATGATTTTCCGTATTCCAGAAACTTCATTTTTTTTAAGTGCATGTCACGAAATAATTGTTATTATTCTCTATTGTTTGAAGTACTTGAAGAACTATTTATTAAGCAAATTGTTGAAAACATAGTCTCCATTTAGAGATTTTAGAAATTTCAATTTAAACAAAACATTTTCATGGAAAACTGTTGTTTCTAGAAATCGTATGATTTTCTTTTCGTGGATATTTGGCAAAAAAAACCAATCATATGATAACGACTTCTCAACCCTGTTCAAATTCGAATTCCTAATTCAATTCCGGATAGAGTGATATGACAATCTCTTACCCCCAAGATAATTGCAAGTTGATTTCATTGTGCGCAATGGTGGCGGTAACTACTAAACCATTTTATCTTATTTTTATCATTGACTTTCTAAAGATCGCGAAAAGGCTATTTACGTAAGTAACACATTTATATATCGCCAACGAACTGCTCAGTTACTTGATCTTGGTTTTTACACCGATCACATTATGTGTTACCACTCGCATATCAAATCCCTACACCTTAGCATTCGGTGTACCACAAGAATCTAATCTTAAGCCATTGTTCTCTGTCTTTCTGTTCCAAATGTGTCGACAGCAATGTAATACTTGTGCTGTAAATTGTTCAACTGTTGATTACTAATAAAATTACAAAGTAAATGAAGAGGATTAAAAAATTGCCTGCAGATTTTCAAGTTTCAATTGAGAAATTATAGGAAGTAAAAAACAGACCACGCGCCCCCATTAATAAATTGTATCTATACCGAAGGGGAAAGTTAAAATTTAATAACCTTGAAATGCACCTGTTGCACCTAAAATATACACCTGTACGTTAGATACACCGCCCCAAGACAACCCCCTTGACCACTATTCATTAATGGACGCGTGGATAAAAAAAACTAGATATAAGTTACGTATATTATACTCACCATTCTTGCTCTATTACCAACCTTCAATAAAATAAAATGTGTAATCCAGATTTATAGCCGAAAGTCCATTGCCGATTCACATCCCCCTTACAATAAGAATGATAAAATTTATACCGACCGATTGTGACATATCAATTATTTCGGTTTTAGTCAAGTGGATAGAGGTGACGGTAGGTCTATGCCTATGCGACCGATGTCCAAAGGAATATATCAATATTAAAAGAGCTCTCTGCAACTTTATACAAATAAAAACTTATGCGACTCATTGTTGTATAGAATTAGGGTGCTTTTAATAATTGGTATCGTGCAATAATTAATACTAACCATCAGAAATAGCTAAACGTAAAATTTATTTGCGTTTTATTTCATGACAAAATACCATTTATTTCTTAATGGTTCTGTTAAATAAAAGTCAACTAATAGGTACGTAAAAATGATACTGTATATAGTTCCCCTTCCTATGAAACCGTTCATTTTATATGTACCTAAGGGATGTAATTATTACGAAGTGCGCTTATTTTTTTAGAAAAGTCATTGAACAAGAACAAGGGGGTTCCTATTTTTAAAAAAACATTTTCTCATTTACAAAACTGAGAAATTTGGTATGAATTTCTGATAATAACAGTTCCATCTCGTTAGCCTTATAAAAATCAATTCATTTTATAAAGGAGTACGTTTTTCAAAAATACAAAAAAATCAAATAATTAAAAAATGTTGCTTAAGTACAAGTTCTTACTCAATTTGGGAACAAGGCATATATCCGGCCTGTCGGAAAGAAGCGATTGTGTGGCTTATCCTAAAAAATATTGAAAATCCATACTTACCCTCAAGTTACCCACCGATAAGCCTTACAGTATGTGTAGGAAAAATATTCGAGCGTATGGTAAGCTCCCGTCAAATGTGGTTACTCGAGAAAGAAAGGCATTTGGTAAACTGCAAAGTGGGATGCCGAAAATACAGGTTAACAACTGATCACCTGGTGCATCTACACTGCAGTTATGCAAGCATTTCTGCGTAGGCATGGATGTGGAGAAAGCATTCGATATGACATGGAGAATGGAGATACAGTGTCGTACAAAGGTTGGGGTTGGGGGGAATCTTCCAAATCTCATTTCGTCTATATGCATGTGGGCGAAGTGGAATCAAGATTGCGTTGGTCTAACCAGAACAAACAATTGCACATTGGTTTATCAAGGTATTCATTAAAGTAATCTTTTTTTTAATGAATGAAAAGAAAATGAAATTGTGAATAGAAAAAGGTCTACCAAGCAGTCAAATTATCTTATAAAGGAACTACAATTAATTGAAGCAAATACACAGGAGGCCAATACCTTACAAAGGGAATATCTGGATGGATATTTATAATAATAGCTCTAATTCATTTGTTTTGAATTTAGTCTTTACGGCTTGTAGTATCAGCCGCCTTCGTTTTATGCAATTTTTGCAGCAAACTTAAAAACTTGAAATAATTGGAGTCCTTTAATTTTTATTTACTGGTTTGTAGCCATTTTTCAATCAGAATTTTATTTTCTTTAAAGATGTATAGAATTAAAGACGCATAGAATTCGAAAATATTCGATGCACCGAGCTGCTTAAGCGCGTTTTTGTGCCAAGGATCGCGGTTTAATAGCGCTAATTTCTAGATGTTTCGCATGTTTACCACCCGCACGTTAGTAAGGAAGGTATTGCATTGAGGTAAAAAATGACTCTCCACTTTTTTTACGGAAATACACGTTTTGAAGCACAAGGAATCCGAATCAAACAAAATCTCGATGATGTCGGTCTGTCTGTACTCTCATTTTCGGCTAAGCGGCTAAATCGATTGGAATCAAATTTGGTGCACATATTCTTAGACATAAAAGGAAGAGCTAAAAAGCTTTTGGGCAGAATCGCACATTCGCGTAAGTGTACCAAACTCTCATTTCCGGCTAAACGACTGATCCGATTGGAACCATATTTGGTACACAGATGGAAGAGCAGAAAGGGTATGTTTCATCCCAATACTGAATCTCGCCCTTTGTACACATTTATATGTAATTAACCTATGTACTTATTAAAGACATTTATTATTATAATATTCATAGGCGTAAAAGGCCAGAATGGCGCATGCGCAGGTGTCCGGGTAGTATGTGTGCTAACCACAGTAAATTTTTTACTTCTACGTTCAAATGTTCTTTTCATCTCTGTTTAGAGTATATCCAGTAACAGGGGCAAAGCTGTTAGTTCTATACTCCTATATGGTAGGGATGGTTGTAGAAAAACAACTTAAAAGGAAATCTAAATTTTGGAGCTTCTGGGAACACAGCTTCCAAACAAAACATTTTTAACTTCAGATTTCTTTGGGGAAAAATGTTTGCTTCGGTCCTTTCTAGCACCCAATTTTTTTGCAAGAGGAATTCAATTCCACATGTGCCAGTGATTTTCCTGGGCAATCGAAACCCACGCGTGGATATTACCAGTGCCCTGCATTTAAAGATTTTTGGGTCGTTTCCGGAGTTTTCTATAATTCTTCCAGAGCTGTGTAGCCACTTATTATCAGGGCGTTTTTGATCATTTTCCTGCGTTTATAGGATCGTTATGTTCTGGGAATAACTCGAGTTTCCGAGTAGTCTACAGGACTCTAAAAAATAAAAATTTTATAACATTCTTTCCTAGAGCATTCTTTCACTTTTTTTAAAAGTGTGCAGTCATTTTCGAAACTTTATAAAGGAAGTGTCACGTAAAATAAGATTAAGAACTTTCCTTATTGGTAAAGCATTCTTTTGATACGATGAATTACTTGTATTTAAACATGATGTATATTGACAAATGTAGGTGGGTGGTTAGTATCACAACACATGAATAAATATTATTATTATTATTAAATTTGTACTGAGAGATCAGAACTCCCCCCTCCTAATTTTTCTACATGAGTGATCTTGGAAGCATAATGCAGGGTGATTAGAGGTGACAACCATTTACGTTTGGCTCCCACTGATTCAATACGAGGAATACGCCCGAAAACACACACCACACTTTGCCACAATAATAACCATGTATGTACAGTGTGTCCTATTTTGGTTGAAACTACAGTGTATCTGATATCTCGCATAGTAGGTATATTTTGGTATATATTACCTTATATAATTTTCAAAATTTTGAAATTACGTATTTCTACCGTTACCCGTTTTTATTGATTGGTATAAGCTGCCTTAGTTATCATGGATACAATGAACAAAACAAAATATCACGTAGTCTTTAATATCAGTAAAATAATTAGGTTTTAATGGCTTAAATTAAAATAAATATGTTGTGATACATCAATGTAATCAGGAAAAGGGTTGAAAAACAATTGACGTAAAGATATACAGGTTGTTGCAATTAAAAAATACCAACATGAGTCAAATTCAGAAACTGTAGTTCACTAGGTAGTAGGTCAGTAGCTAGGTAGGTCTCGTACTACCTGGGTTTAAAATACGATAACATCCCAAACAGTCAAACTTTTCGTTTTCACCCTGTATCTCAAAAACAAGTGTAGCTAGATTGATTCTGTTTGTGGAATTAAAAGTTTCACAAAATAGTGGCGAAATAGGGCACACTACTATACAATTGTACATGACCCTGAAGAAAAATGCGCAAATCGTCGAAAAGTTGGTCTTAGTTGAATTGGTGACCCTGCATTTTAACTCACGGTTCAAATTCTTATAAATTATTGAGGTTTTTATGGTTAAAAATTCATTAAACAACTGGAAATTAAAATTTTCTTTTATTTGGTCACGTAGGTACATAGTTGCCACTTTATCACAGTCAGTGGAAAGCGCTGTATCTTTCTTATGATTTTCCTTTGATCAAAGCCATGTTTGAAGGAAAAGTTTCTTTTGGTCCCCTCTAGTTACCATTCCAGTTTATTTGACATGTTAGAATTAACTCTTTATAACAATAGGTATATCTATGAACGTTCTAACCGTTTGGAATTTAATTCTTTCACAAACAGGATAAAGATCAATGTTTGAGGGGTCGATTTCACTTAAAAACGAAGCCTGCAATAAGTCAAAGTCAAATTATAAAGGAATTCTACGGCTTTGTAAAGTAGCAAACTCGTGGATGATCATTGAAGTTCCTATTCCTGGCAACATCTTACTCAATCGACAATTTAGCTATATTGGAAAGTCGCCCTTAAATATTTTTTAATTATTTTCAACTTACTGAAGCTGCGTTCATCGGATGAATTTGTGGCAGGAATGTAGTTACAAAAATGGCAATCTTCAAATTGGAGTAAGCTGGATGTAATTGATATTCACGAATTATTTTCAATAAATCATGGAAGAGCAATATTCAATGAATTTATTGGAATCTAGAAGTTTTTCATTTCATTCAACAGCTCGTCGCCATTCAGGTCCTCTAGATACTCTAACGGTAATTTTTCCATTTTGCATTTTAACTCGTCATCGATCAATTTAGAAAATTCTCTACCAAGAAAGAAAACATACTCAAAATGGAGTTCAATTCATATACGGCTTCACAGTGGCGCTTTAGATCTACCAAAATGGAATCAATAACTTCAAAATATTGTTTGCTGAATGCTTGCCCTGGTCTCGTCCACTATGAGTGGACGCATGAAACATATGCTCCAAAGTTAAATCAGCAGTCACTTTGCTAGCTGCACTATCGAGTGTATCTGAGTGTTCTTAGAAAGAACGTTTAGCGTGTATCATCCATCGGCTAGTGGATTTAGAAAAGAATGTGAAAACATGTTCACATTGACTAAAAAATGCTTTGAATCCTTTTTCCAATTTTTATGTAATTTTAGCCGTCTATTTTAGCGCCTTTTATGGCGCCTTTTTTGCGCAAATGGTTGGAAAAAGTCTACTTTCCACCTGCACCTATCACTAGTGTAAACAATTTTCTGAAAGGTGCGAATTGCTGGTGAGGGTCTTCAAAAAAATGAGCCACAAGCACGTCAGGTGAATTCTTAAACAATATCCTAATTTTTTATTGCAATTCAACATTAATATTTTTTCTTCCTTTGTAAACAATTTTAGCAGGAATATTATATACTATACCTATTGCATTAGAAAATGGAAATGTAAAAAAGTACAAATATTGAATATCATTTCTTAACGATTGCTAAAAATGTCGTGTAAATTTACTCTACAAAAGTACTAAAAAGAAATAAAATTGTACTTTTTTGGACCATTTTCCTATTTTCTAATCCTTTAAACTTCTTGTGTGCTCTACCCTTTCATATAAATGACCCTATGCAGCCCACATATCGCGCTGGATATGCGTTGGGAGCTATACGAGTGGCCCAACGAGAAGTATACAGAGGGCTTTTAGGGTACTAAATTTAAAAATTTCGAAAAATCCTCGAACACGTCAATGTTGTATTCGAGGGAGACAACTTTTGGAATACAAATCACGAACCCAAGTCTTCACCCGTCTACGTAGGGAGCTTAACACCTAAAATTTTAAATGGAATCCTATGGCAAATGCCACATTATTTGAAAGCCAATTTAATCGTGATTACTAATCTGCTTTGCTTTTTAAAATCTATTGATTCGTTTCGGAGATAATTCGCATTTGAAATGGTTTTTTCTAAAAAAACCAAAACAAATGCGATCTAAGTCATCTTGTATTAAAATTTTATTTTGACGCTTCAATTTGTTTGTTAAACTTAAGTGAACCTGTCAGTTTTCCGAAACGAATCAATAGAATTTAAAACGCAAAGCAGATTAGTAATCACGATTAAATTGGCTTTCAAATAATGTGCCATTTGCCATAGGATTCCATTTAAAATTTTAAGAATTAAGCTCCCTACGTAGAGGGGTGAAGACTTGGGTTCGTGATTTGTATTACAAAAGTTGTCCCCCTCGAATACAAAATTGACGTGTTCGAGGATTTTTCGAAATTTCTAAATTTAATATCCTAAAAGCCCTCTGTATACTTCTCGTTGGGTGACTCTGTATACCTACCTACAGATTCCCAACGATGAACAAACTCCACTTCCATATTTTAACAGGGTTATGGAATTGGTGACAAAAATAAAGCCAAATTGGAAAGTATTTGCTTATGAAAGCAATTGCACTTTAATGTAAGGCGCAACCTCTGAAAAAAGATATTAAATTAAGGCCAAATTAACTTTCAATATACCGGCAAGCTTCCCACGACTGAAGATTAAGCGATTTTACAATATACGCAGCTGTAATTGCACAAAAATGAAAAATGCCAGCATTAATTAAGTAAATGGCGGTTTGTATTTAAAAACAATTAAAGCAGGTAATCATCCTTCAATTATGCGAAACGCGTGTTGGGTACACCTTAATCAAACATTAAAAGTGGTAGTTAAGAGCCTAAATGAAAAATTACCTAAATCAGTTCTTCTCTTTTAGCTTGTAATAATTACTAGAAACGTAGTGTCTATGCCGCAAAGGCATCTGTAATTAAATTTTTCGATCAATCACCTGTGGCACATGCTAAACTTTCAGAAAAAAGATCGCTGTGTGTGTATTTGCTGATGAGGTTGTAAACCAAAGTTATACAAAAAAGGATCGATTTGTAATTCGGACGCCTTAAATCAAAAACCGTTATAATCGGATAAAGTACTTTTTAATTACGACCATATTTAATTGTCCCATTTCTAAATGACAAAAATCCTCGCAAGGACCACTCTTTAAGTGTCCCAGTATGAATTTTAGATGCGATCTTCAACACGCCAGAATATTTTTATAAGGTAACATTAAATGGTTTTCCTTATTAGGTGGGGTTTTATTATTCCTGTTAAGGTGAGTCCTAGTTATCAGGAATTCAGGTCAACACTGTGATTAAAATTTGTACTAATTATAAGCATTGTCTCTTTTACTGACTAGCTACTAGAAATGTCTAGCAATACGCTACAATATTGTCCATGAATCTGTTTGAGTGGTGCCAAAATTCAGAATCAAAGGAAAATAGACTGCTTTTGTTTTTCTGGATTTTGAGAATTTTTATGAAATGTCTGAGGCTTTGCAGACTCTTTTCCACGGTAATAGTTAAACGTAAAACTCAAAAAAGGCGTCTAATTAACAAACAGATCGCGTGTTTGTAAAACCTATTTCCTACAGTTCGCAATTAGGGCGACCGAGTGTATGGAGTATCATTAGGGGATAACCAAATTCCTACTTCAATTTTTTCCAAAGTTAAACAACAACCAAATGCGGATTTCATGACGTTCATAACTAAAAGAAACCATGAAAAAATGCAAAAGCGGTCTTAGAATTACAAACTTACTTGTCATTTGTAACGATTTATTTTCTTTATTAGACGTATTATAATTGTTCCGGGTATATTTACTTGTTGAATGATCCTCGTAACAGTTGTAACCTTGGAGTTTTAAACACGCAATTTGTCGTCATTCATTTTTCTCATTCGACTGCAAGCTGTGATAGAGTGCACTTGATTTTTAATTAAACAGCAAAACGCATGGGGTTTTAACTGCCGCCACCCATATGTATTAATATTTGGCGATTAAATTCAGTTAATTGGAAATTTCGCCCCTTCACTCCAGTAGGAGGATATAATTGCGTTATTCTTCTTCATTGTTAGTAAGTACACCATTTGCATTTAATCTGCTTGACGTATACCTTCTTTAGGTTCCGGCTGATATTTAATACGATTTTTCATCGACGATTGTTGCACGTTCTTCTATAATTAGCCCTCTTATTTAAAGAGGTAGATACCTATATTTTAGGGTTATCAATGAAGAGGGTTAAATTTGATTTTTTCTAGGGTTTGTCTTAAATTTACCATTTACCTGCGAGTGCCAACACCTGTGGAAATATTTTTTCACACCTGATAAGAAGCCGCCATATAATATAATATAATATAATATAAGCAAAATTCAGCAGGATTCGACCTCACGCGAATGTTATGGTATTACGCCACTTCCCCCTGAGGAGGTTGGTCAAAAAAATACTCAGGCATTGTTCATGTTCATTGCATTCCGAGCTCTGCGACTTGGAAGTTTTCTTTTGTTGAGGATTTTATGAATCCGGGAATTGAGCTCACTTCTCTGGATAACATCTTATTAAATCAAGGTAAGCGTTGCATTTTTATCTTTTACTTGTACTTGGCCTATACGTGCGCACTTTGTTTTCGGATCAATTTCTTTGCGGAAACTTGTGTTAAGATCAAGTACTCAATTTAATTGATCATTCTTGATTGGAGCTTTGTAAACCTGTTAAAGTTTTTTGTGTGTGACGTAACTTATAATTTTGATATTTGAAGTTTGATTTGATATACGTAAATAAACCAGTGGAAAACGCAAGCGTATCGCTTAGTTAATGAAAATTAAAGGATCCCTGAGGGAAATTCGCTGAGCTTGAGAGAAACAATGAATTTTCGGTTTTAATATGAACTTAAGGGGTATCGGAGGGTAACACGGCGCGCGGGGGCGAGAGAATTGGAACATTTGGAAACAACAGTAATTAAACAAAGCAAAAAGCAATTTGACAACTTTTTAATTTAAGAAAATTCGCTTATATCCGCACATCAATATTCAAGTAAGGGGTTGTAACTTTTGAGGTACGTGGCACAGTTTTGTTTTTTGTTTAATTGGTCTAAATAACAAAAGGACCCTTCAAATTTCACATAAAAATAAAATCTTTTTTCCTTTAAAATCTTGCGCATTTCTTGAAGAAAATTCGCTCTTTACCTACATGGCAATATTCACTTCAAGGGTAACTTTTTTTGTATATAAAAATGTTTTCTTTTGTGGTTTTTTGATTTATAAGTAACTTTCCACATTCTAGATAAAATAAATTCCTTCCTGCTTAATTTGTAAAATAATTCGATTTGAACTTGTAACGATAGCTCTAAATTTGGAACTAGTTTTATTTTTTTCAAAATTTTTGTGGTAAAGTTAGGAGTTAGGAGAAGATTTCGTAGTAGAATTGAAAGAAATAATAAACGAGCATTTGGTGGAATAAAAGATTGTCCTTTTTTACATCTGTTAAAATGTCTATAGACCATAGAGCATTATTGTCTCGAGAAGGGGATTTAGATCATATTCAGTATCTTAATTAGGGTTGTCTAATTACAACTGCGAATTCAGCATAGGTTCATTTAAGCATCCTGGAACTGCAACGTAAAATATTGTGCTCGTATTTGGGAATTATTTAGTTGGGGATTAAGCTAAAAAATGAATGATTCAAAATGGCCGTCTGCGTTAATAAGAAACCATTTTGTAGGCGTTTACTGAATAAAGAATGTAGGGGATTAGTTTTGTATGACCACAAAGTTTTCGGTTCTAATTAAATTTGTGCGGAATTCAAAGACGAAAGTCGGTGTATTCGGGACAAAATATAAAACTGCAGCTTAGAAAACTCGAGTATGAACTATTACATTGCACGCAAGTTCCGTGAGATTAAGAGTTTGTGTCATTTATTACACCCTAAAAGGCATGATTGTACAAGCAGAGGATGTTAAAACCTTATTGGGGAAAAGTCGCATTTCATCACATAAATTGGAGTAGTGTTCGGCTAAAGACAGGTTATTTATGCTACAAAAATTAAGCTGTGTCGTCTTTGGTGAACAAAAGGGGGTTAAACTTTGGTGTTTGAATACGTAACTCGGAAATTAGTAAATTGTCCGTAGTTAAAAACGAAAGTTAGAGCGAAAAAAAACGTATGGTTCAATAAACAAATTTCTGTTTTTCTGTGAATAAAAATAGTGTTCAAACGCATTCCTAAATCCTATTAATGACAAACGTTCCCGGTTCTTTACATGCTTGCAATCCATGAACACAAGGATTAGCTGTCCTAAAAAACTACACCTAGAGCTTTTAATTTCGCTGGAGGATTTTTTACCGTGCGTCAGTAGATTTCAATCTGCAGCTTCAGGATTTATTTTCTCCCTATCATTGTAAGGAGGGCGTTCCGACCTTATTATTATGTCTTAGAGATATCATACACAAATGTTGATTGCTAATGACTAGGCCATTTTTTTCCGAGGTTGTCTACCCACTTTGGCGCTAACTAGCCATTTCTACATGTGTTTCACGGCCAGTTGCACAAAAAAATAATCCAGGATTATTGTTTAATCCGGTATTAAGACATTTGATTGGCTTTATATTGCAATAGGCAGCCAATCAAATGTCAAAATTCTCGTTTAAACTCAGATTTGGCAAATAATCTAGGATTTTGATTATAATTCGCGTTCCTGCAATCGGGTGTTTTAGCTCCAGTTGTATAATTAGCTACAAGGAATTAAATCACATAACGTTTTAATGGCACTCAGGAATCCCTTAAGTGCCCTTTGAGTGTTGCTAAGCGGGTATGTCATCTACGATTTATATGACTGGACTATTTAGCTTCTCGCCATGCGCAAGACGGACAAATAATGGTTAGCTTTCTAATTTAAAGGATAAAAGGGAAGGTGGGATTAACCCCGGGACTTATTAACTCCACTCCATTCTCGCGCTTCCGATACCCACACAAAGTCCAATTTCTGGCTTATTTCTGACCTTTTATTTAGTCGCTGATCGGATGCTAGCTGTGTAACCGATTTTATCTTTTTTGGGAGAGGGGCAGGTAATTAATTAGAGTTTTTGACCCTAAAATATGCACAACTGTGATCAATTTCCAATTGGACGCCCATATTGCATTAGGGGGGGTAGTGGAGTGTAGGGTTAACAACACGCGTGGTTAATCAACCCCCCCCCCCTCACCACGCCTATTTTATCGCCAGTCAAAGAGCATATGTACCAATTTTCATAGCTTTACTCAAATCTCCCAGATTAGAAGCCGTATACAAGAGGGAATTTTTTTTAAATATTGATTTATGAAAAAAATTTATTCTTCATGATATTTTTTGCTTGCTTTGAAAGTAACAATTACGTTTCGATAATCTATAATTTATTTATAGAAATCTGGAAAAATAATAAAATTAATTTTTTTTATTGAAAGTTATCATTCTACATTATAATTAAGATAGCGTATTGCTATCAAACCACAAACAATCGAAACGTTATTGGTACTTTCAAAGCAAGCAAAACATATTATGAAGAATAAATTTTTTTCATAAATCAATATTTACAAAAAAAATCCCACTTGTATACCCCATGGCTTTACAACACACTGTATATAACATTTGATGGAAAATCAGTTTTTCGTTTAAAATGCGCTATTAAAGTGTGTTATTAAAGTTGATTTCTTACAAGTTCAAGGTAAAAAATCTCCAAATTCATGGGCCCATCATTACATAAGAATAAATTATGCATAAATGATCGTTCTTTATATTGTATTAAAATTTTAGTGGATTAGGTATATTTAAGTGGTCTACAAGCAACCCTCCAATTCTCAGATAAAAGTAAAATCTTTTCTCGCTTTGAAATATCGCATTTTTTAAGAAACTTTGCTCTTAACTGCATAGAAAAATTTAATCTCTTTCATAGATTATCCTTTTTTGATCTACATGCAACCTTTTAATTACCACAGAAAAATAAAATACCTTCTCGCTTTTAAATTTTGTAATTTTTTAAAAAAATTCGCTCTTATCCAGAATAAGAAAATACATGCTTATTATAAAACGTCCTTATAATTTATACTACAGTGAGGAAGAGAGGGATGTAACGCATGCTTACTAAGGTACAATGTGCCCCTTTCTATAACCGTTGTTTTACATGTTCTGGAGTTATGTGAATCGATACTCTATATCCTGTTGTAGGCGTTTTTGAAGATTTACTTTCAACTAGCCAATAATAGCTCTGGTTAGATTTGAGCCTGGATTTGAATGAAAGAGCTTTCCTATATTTCATTTATTTTTGTACACACATGCAAAAGTACTGCAAAAATGATGAATTAGAAAACTATGCATATAGTTGTTTCGTATATCTTTTGAGTTGGTTCGCTTACGTAAAGGAGGCTACGCGTTTCCATGATTAAATCATCCTTATTGGAATTTTGAAATTAAGCGCTTTAAATTACCGGCAGACAAAGAAAGTTTGTTGAATAATAAATATGTAAAATTGAATCGCTGAAATGACAATTACCAATTTTACACTTTTTTTGAATTGTCCCCGATTGCGAGTAAAACATGTAATTTCACATGCAATCACCTTCTGTAAGTAGATCAGTAGCACCTACTCAAATTAGCGAAATGGTAAAAAGTTGCTCACAATTTGCGAAACTCTACTATCAATTAGTGCACTAAAATCCAGTTTATTGATGCTATCCTTCACTCATTAAACGGTTCATAATTAGGAATACCTTACGTTTATGTGGTGACTGGATCTACTTCGGTGGTCTTCCTGTTCAAATCATCTACTTAATTAGTTCCGATTATAACGAAAAGCTTTATTGATATATTTTTTTCGTATTCACTTTATTGGTGTGTTAATTATCTTTATGCGTATAACAACTACCACTTATTAATCACGCCAAATCACTCACGATATATAAGCTGGGAAGTTAGAAAGGTACCGTTCCAAAAGGTAATTATGTCAAAAAGTAGTTTCGTTTTTATCATCTAAAAGGATATTTTAGTTTAGTTTTCTAACAAGACTTTGTGCTTTGCATTATGGATCATCCCAGCTAATTGTACGAATTAATTGCTGTCCGTTTCGTAGTTTTTTTCTCATTTCAATTTGGAGGCCTAACCCTAAACTTTCAAGTCAATGTAAAACAAAAAGCCCTTCTCTATACGTGCATGTAAAAATTGATCATGAAGTAATTGCGGCTAAATACAAGTTAATTTAAATTACGACGGCTATAAACTTTTCGGAAATTAATTTGATGGCGATACAAGTAAACTGCTTTTGAAACGACTAATTAGCATCATTCGATTAATTTATCACATTTCAAAGTCATTAAAAGATAGGAATTACGTCGTATATGCATTTACGTAAGGGCGCCTTCATGTACCGTTAATAATGACGATAGGTGGGTACACCTGCCACTATAAAAAAATATTTCGCTCGTGGACAAACTGGTGCGCATTTTTTATGGGAAGAGAAATGTGAATTGGGACCCCCGAGAGTTTCTATTCAGCTTAATATTATGAATCCTGCACTAATGCGAAGCTTTTAATTTTTGTGTTGTAAACGTAAAAGATTATGTTGTTTGGGAAATTAATTCCTAATCAAAGGTGGCGTATTTACAATTTCTAGCAATAAAATTAGGTACGTGCCCGTGGACCAATAGAAAATGACTTAACCGCACCTGCTTTTACAAAATACACCTGCCATAAGTTGATCTCGATTTCGATTTTCTTTTTAATTCCACACATTAATTCCTACGCATACAATTCTTGAAATTGTTAATGTTTAAGCATTGTATTAAAGTGCAAGTGTCGTTTTACAAAAAGCAGAAGAGGATATTATTTGTAACAGAAATATTTCAATATCTCACAGCAGGACTAAAAGCAATGCGAAAAAGTCTTAATAATCATTAATATATTATTATAGTTATTATATGCAATAAACCATACAGATGACGTTCAATAAATGAGAGACAATAAACTGAAATTTGGCAAGGTACTTTGTTTCAAGGTACTAAATACACCTTGAAACCCCAGCGACGAGGCGTTGAGCCCGTCACCACAAAACCACCCCCTAAGTGGACTAAAATCCACCTTTTTTAAAATTTTTCTTAACTCTAAAACTAAGCATTTTAACGAAAAAATCTCAAGAGAGGAAAATTGCGGAGAAAAACATTTCCTACAAAATAGGTGCACATCAAACGTTTTAGATGTTAAAGTTAAAATCGACCCCAAAATGTTTATACCGTGTGTCCTAGCTTGCCGCACCATATAGGCAAAACAGAATGAATATATTTTTTCGCGAAGGCCAGTAAATGAACGTGGAATACGGCGATACTGTGTAATTTTCCGCGTCTTCACCGAATCGCATGAAAATTTGGATTTAGGTTCTACTTACCCTCCACTTCAAAGTTGAACTTGAGCCCAGGGTTGCTTTTTATTTTTTAGGGGAAAAAACTACCCCTATTAGAAAAAAATTGTGTAATTGCAAATTTAATCTTTTAAAGGAGTGAAGAAATATCAATTAACATTAAACAACATAACTTAAGATTTTATCACAGTTTAATCCCTAAATCTTATCTCTAAAATAGTAATATTTAAAACAATGTCATAGAATACTTTGACTCCACTGATTTGCATGAAAATTTGGATTTAGGTTATTCTTACCCTCCACTTCAAAATTGGACTTGTGCCGTTGGTTGCTGTTTATTTTTTAGGGGTGGAAACTACCCCTATTAATCATATAATTGTAAATTCGAGCAATTTGGGATTATTTAATTATACAATAACATTAAATTTAGATTTCTTTCCTATTTTTATTTTTTACCAGATAATTTATACCCTTATAAAAACCAACCTTTGCGAAGAAATTCGAATAGTTGTAGTAATTTTTTTTCTTCGTTGATACTAGATATATATACAGTAATTTTTCTAATTAAAATTTTACGAATTTATTTTATTTCAATTAAAAAAACAACCCTTATTGTTTCAAATATAAATCTTAGATCTCTAGATTTTAAATAACAAATAGAAAAAAATAAAATTAATTTTTATACGAATGTTAATTACTAATACTTTTGAAGTTATTTTGAAAAAAAAGGCAATTTTTCAAAATTTCAAAATTTTTTTTACTTCAAAACTACATTTTTCAAAAATAAGCACTTTGCACCGGTCAAACTTACAGATCATATAAACAATACATAAATAAAGTAAACTGTAAAGCGGTAACGCTTAATACAATTGGGGTGCTAATTAGGGGGCGATTTTCTCGATTTTTTTTTACCTAAAAAAAGGACCAACTTTATTTTGAGCGTAACTCACTTAGTTTTGATGCTAGGAACTTTTCTTAAAAACAAAAAGAAAGGTGTTTTCAAAGTATAAGTATTAAGTATTCATAAGTTTTCCCCGAAAAGTGCTTCATTTTTTTGTTATTTCACGTTGAAGTACTCGATTTGGAATTTGACGAATGAGAACCTATACTTTTCATGAGCTACAACTTTGCTTCTACTGGGTCTACAGACTTCATATATAGACAGTTTCCTAGCGTGTTGTTCACTCTATATCCTTGATTTTAAAGATATATAAGAACTGGCAATTCTTGCTATGGGTTTTCAGAAGCGTAAATTGTTCATTAAATTAAAGGTGATGTCCAAAATATAATTGTCCGATAGATTTTCTGGTACGATTATGGCGCCGTTCGTAATTAAAAATGCTACTCAATACAGTATGTACTTTTTTTACGGCACAATTAAGTTGATGATTTCTCCGAAACGAAACGTGGTATTGAAATTATCTCAACAGTGTCTAGTAGAACTCTTGTAATGAGAAAGTGTTTTTTCTAGCATATCTTCGGAAGTAATGGGAATCACTGTATACAATGCTATTCATTTAGAAGTAGACAGACATTTCCTATGTCTAGTTTTAAATGACAAAAACTGCTGAAGAACGCCTTATTTTATACAACTAAAATAACTGCTTAAAACAAATGAAAATTTTGCTGTCATATCAATTAATTGAAATATTATTGCTTCCGTATTTTTATTTTCGTTCGTGTGCGATATATTCAACTGGAGAAAAACTTGATATTGTCAATTGGTATCGGGCCGGTAATAGTTTAAGGAGCGTAAGAGACTTATTTTCTGTGTTGATTACTTTAAAATTAGTAGTTATTGAAATGCCATCCACGTAAACAAGAAAAAGAATCCCATATGATACTTGAGGGAAATAGCGACCTAAAAGCACACTATTTACTGTCGTTTTTATTAAAATCTAAAATGACAATGCAACATGCGTGCGCATGTTATTTATGTTTCATAAAATTAGGTGTCTTTCAATAGTACTTTTATCATTTAAAAGTAGACATAGGAAATCCCTATGTCTACTTCTAAATGAATAGCTCTGTATGTAATAGGAAGAACAAAGAGTCACATTTTCCTACGTTGATCAAATATATGTTTGTCTAATAATCTCTAAAGGAATAGTTGGCGGTCACCTCACGGCGCCTCTTTTATATATCAGGTACCTAGAGCTATTGGCATTCGCCACTACTTGTGGTTATATATATCGCGGCCTTGGCTTTGCGAAAGGTCTTTCTAAACTCATTTCAATCGGCACGTGCAACGGTTTCTTGTTCTCCAGCTCTTCAACTCGTCCATCGAAGGCGATTTCCTCTCATTTCTGGACGAGTATTTGGAATAATTAACTCGGCAACTGTTTCAATTTGGTTTTTTTAAAGCCAGAATAGATTTAAGTGATCCTTGATGAACCCCGAGTCATTAAAATCGCATTAGATCGACGTGAAGGCCATGCTAAAGACTACTATTGCCATCCCGCTCACGACGGCTAATCTAGCTCTGTAACGAAAGATACAAGAAACGTTTTTCGTTCTTGTATGCACCACAAATTGATTGATATATATGTAGTTTTTGAGATTTAGTTTGGGGGCGCTTATGTTGAGGTGTAAATCAGGCCTTAGACGAAATCTCTGTGTAAACCTATCTTAACGTAATCGAGCAGCTGAATTTGACATTTGACAGATGACAAATGTTTATTATGAACCATTAACAAGTTGTTTATATTGTTCATAAATTTTGTATTGTCTATTTATTTGTATTTGACCATGTACAGTAATTATTAGCATGGCGAATCTCAAAGCCGGTGGGCCAACAAATCGGAAGAAAGTCCAAGTAAGTTCCCTCATATTGTGTATGGCAACTTTTAAATGAATGCAACTTGAAAGGTATCGATGGTAATATGCGAAGCCGAAGAAAAAAAGCACCGGTCCGGCGTTAACGCCCTACAGTTTGATGCAAGCCTTTCCCGTTTGTTTTCGGCCGGCCGTGACAGTATTGTTAGAGTATACGAGCAGGAACGATACCTACAAAGTATGGAGCATCACACTGACTGGGTTAACGACATTGTGCTTTGTTGTAATGGAAGGAATTGTAAGTGTGCTGACCTGGTGACTAAAACAACAGTAGATCTCCTTTTAGTAATATCAGCCAGTTCAGATACGACCGTTAAAGTTTGGAATGCGCACAAAGGTTTCTGTATGTCGACGCTTCGCACCCACAAAGACTACGTAAAGGCTTTGGCGTACGCAAAGGACCGTGAGCAGGTAGCATCGGCTGGTCTCGATAAGTCAATTTACTTGTGGGATGTGACCACCTTAACTGCACTTACAGCTAGTAATAATACAGTAACTAGTAAGTGGTTGTGGTGGTTGCGAATTAAATGTGTTGATAAAGTATTTAAGCTTCTAGTCTGGTGGGAAATAAGGAATCTATCTATAGTTTAGCCATGAATCCCTCTGGTAGTGTGATCGTTAGCGGGTCAACTGAGAAAGCTTTAAGATTTTGGGATCCTAGAACGTGCGCGAAATTGTTTAAACTTAAAGGTGGGTATACAAAACTTTCGTTTCTCGAGATAGACGTCACTGTGGTAAACATTGGCTGCTTTCACATTTACAGCTTATTGTTAGTAAGGGGCCATGTCTTGTCAATGCAAGAGGAATTCCTTAGTTTTGAGTCGGTTTCTCAATTAATAAGTAATTTTTAAGGGTAATGCTATCAACTATGCTTGAAATGTCACCTGAACCAAGGGTTTGTAAGTGCTTCCTTTCTATAGGTGTTCTGTTTTGATCTGGGAACCTTTCCTAGCATCTGGACTCTCTGTAAACAAAGGGAGGAACAATTGCGCTCTGGAATATTCACCCTTATCCTTTCTTCTCCTATTCATTGCAAGTTCATTTTCTTGAGATCATTTGGGAGTCAGTTTCCCCTTCCTCTTGCAGTTGCATACTTTTTAAGACAGAATTTACCAGGGTAGGGTAAATTTTGATGGGCACGCTATTTAGCCCACTTACGAAGCACGATATTGACATACAGTTATGGATTTGTAATCAGTTTAATATAATAGGATTTTCCTTAGTTTGCGCGCACGTCATTGGTGTATTATGACGTCATCACTAAGTATGTTTACATAGCATCATGCTGTCAATGGAAGAAAATGCGTATGTAGGCAGCCATACAGGCAGTGCTGCATTGTGGGTAGGGTACCCATTACATCAACCACTTCTGTTAACTAATTACTTCGCTAATTACTAAAAAATGTTTATTTGTAACACATTGTCTATGTCGCGATCTTTTATACTAGGACATTATTATTTGGACGTAAAGGAAAAATTAAAAAAAGTCATTGAAGTATGTTGTCAGGCGCCATATCGTATATAATTGCATATAAATATATAGCTACCTCTGGAGTTCCTCAAGGTTCTAACTTGGGTCCTCTATTATTCCTCATATTTATTAATGATTTATGTGAAGTAATATCCTCGAATGTACTACTATTTGCTGATGATGTAAAAATCTACTCATCAATTTATACAATTTCTGATTGATTGGTGTCTAATTAATAAATTACAATTAAATATAGACAAATGCAAATCTATGTCGGTAACGAGAAAAGTACATAAAATTGATTACAAGTATACCGTGAATTGTATTACTTTATCCCAATGTATACGTACTCGCGATCTGGGAGTGTTATTTGATAAAGATTTGTCATTCAATGATCATGTTACAGAATCTGTTGCTTCTGCGTACAAAATGTTAGGCTTTGTAATAAGAAGCACAAGAGACTTCCATAATATAGATGTTATAAAGCTTTTGTATTTTACCTTAGTTCGTCCTCGACTGGAATACGCCGCAATGATTTGGTACCCCCACTATAAATATAATAAAAGCTTAGGTAGTTGAAAATATCCAAAGAAAATTTTTGAAATATTTATGGTTAAAATACCTTTAAAATGTCTTACTTTCTTATATAAATTACTAAACAATATTACTGATTGTCCTCAACTTTTAGCATGTATTAATTTTCGTGTGCCTAGGCTTAATAGTAGACAGCTTGATGCATTTTATGTCTCCCAATCTCGTACAAATTTACTACCAAGAGCTCCTGTCCATTTAATGTGCTCTAGATACAACCTTATCTGTGATTTAGTTGATATCCACAACGACTCTATAAGTCACATGTTAAGAATCTGCTAAGAACGTATTTGTACCTCATTAGAGTGTTTCTGATATTTTCAAATTTGTTGTTTTTGTCAATTGTATTAAAATTAATTAGATTTAACTTACTACATACTTAATTTTTCTTAAGCATTATGGTTAGCATGTTATAGCTTATGAAGGTTTTGCCCTGTTATTGGTCTTATGCTGTTGGGTAAATATATGTTATTATTATTATTATGGTCGGTGTTTCTTGTGAGAACTCAGATCTAGCCTGGTTAACTAATCGCACGGATTAAAATCAAGCAACCATTAGTGTCTGTGTCTGGTGAAGTTATGTAGGGTCCTTAAAAAATAAAAAATCAAAAAAAAATCAGACACGTACATTGGACATCTAGGGATAGTATGTAATTCGTACTTACCAACATACCTATTGATGGGCACAATAGCCAACGCTATCAGGAAAGAGGAAAACAAAACAAAAAAAATCATTATAATAATTCCTGTAATTTTATTAAATGGAGTTTACTGTGAAGAAGGAGTTTTATTATTATTATTATTATTATAAAGATTAACCGCCGACGACGACGCGGGTTCGAATCCCAGCCCGCGCGCTTTTTTCTTACTATAGGTTCATTAAATTTATGCGACAACTTTTTGTATTAATTATTTTAATTAAAAAGAACGATGATAGTTATAATGTCACAATGGAAATACGGAATACCTAGTTTATATGAATAGACGGATAATTGTAGGCGGAAATTAGGGGCGACGGGAAAGGTCTGTAAACGTTGAAGGCAAAATCAGGTTTTTTCATTCGAGGTACCTACATTCATTCTAGAAAATTTGCCCCGAATTTTTCTCTATCCAATTCAGTAAACGCCTAAAACAACTTTTTGGAATCGCAAGCATTCACTTTTTACGCATTTCCGCATCTTTTGGGGCTTTAAAAACAGAAGTTTTTTGTTTAACACTTTTGTACTCCGTTTCGCATTTCGGCACAAAGCACGGTTTCTTTTTTTTTCTCAAAGTCAGCCATGACAGTTGCCAGAGAACATTCCTCATGCGCCGCCCGTGACGAGTTCATAATTTTGTTGTGTCTGTCCGTTCGTCCGCACGTTAGTACGATATCTCGAAAACGAGTGGACCGATTACGATGAAATTTTCAAGGTGGATCGGAGTTCGCGAATTGGCAATATAGGCCAAAAAAATAAGGTAGGTCCTTTTGACATCTCCGTTAGTTATGAACCAAATTGCATGAAATTCAATATGGGATGGGCATAGCTTAAGCCATATAATAAGTAATTCCAGTTAATTTTAATCGACTCAGCATTCACAGTGCCCTTTTCGCATCTCGACCATTTATGGAATTGCAAACTTGTTTATTTAAATGAAATTTGATGCATAGGCACTTGGATTAAATACAAATCTAACACTAGGTTTCAAATTTAGTTTTGCACAAACCATAACCTTACTCAGGAGCTCGTTTGCTATATTTGTTTACACATTTATTATTTTTTTGTTTTTATTTATGTAAATATTCACTTAGCAAATCATTTTATTTTTTTTATTAATTTTGAATATTATTGATGTATCATTTGGGTTCATTGCGCGCATTTTCTTTCTCTCTTTGTTCTTTGTTTTTGACAATAACAATAATTTGTTAATTCGGGATGAAGTGGAAGAACAGATACTTGGAAAGTTTTTTATGTACATTAGTTGAAGCTCAATAAAAATTATTATCATTAAATCGCTTTCTTCAATTCTTCTAGTGTAAGTATATATAATAGGGCTTGTCCTCGTTGGCACGTGACTTGAGGTAATCCCATGGGAAAAAAATGGGGACAGGTCGGGGGACCGATGGGGCTATAAAACGTCAGCAAATCTCGAAATGAGATGGTTGTCAAACAAGGGGCGGAAAACGGTCTTTGACGCTCTGGCGCTGTGTGCCATCTTGCTGAAACCACAAACGTTGACGATCAATGCTTTACGCTTCACGCTTTATCCGCACGGACCGCCGATTAGCCTCGACCGCCTGGCACATCCGCGAGGGCTGAGGTGGGAGGGGGGGGGAATAAATGTGCTCTATAATTAAATTTATCATTCATTTTAACTTCTCAATGTTACACACTTAATGAGAATGGGATGTTTTACTACAAGGGGCAAATCTGATGAAGTAATTGAATGTCATTTTTTTAGGGCACACAGACAATGTTAAAGCTCTAGTCGTATCGAGGGACGCGACACATTGCATATCTGGCAGTAGTGATGGTTCAAT